TGATGGCACCTAATTAGTTCAACTTGGCCTTTGTTATTACCAAACGTCATTTTATCAAAATCAATAACAAACTTCCTTGGTAGTAGATAGTCCAATCCTAATATGCATTCGTCTTGAATGTCAGCCAAGTATACTTTCTGTCTGTCCTTTATGCCCATGAGCTCAATACTTACCCACACTGGTCCCCACAATCTTGTAGAATGTCCTGTCACACCACAAAGCTTCTCTATGGCTTCTGGTACTCCTTCGTGATTTAACACCTTGATGCTCACAAGGGTTTGCTGAGACGCAGAGTCTATGATAAAGTTGCACCCTTGGCCATCCAGCTTTCCTGTCACATAGACACTGTGTGTGTTTGGCATTTTACACCTAGCTGTTGGGACTTTCATGATGGGGGTTGGTGGGCGTCACTCAACACCAACCACTACTGGTCTCCTTGAGGCCGACTTGTTGGTAATATTCTTCCTACACTGGCTCCTCAAATGTCCGTGCTTTCCACAGTTCCAACAACCTTTCTGGACACCAGCCTTTCCTGCTGTGGCATCTCCCCTGTGTTGAAGTTTCCAGCATTGAGCTCTCTTGTGCTCAGGTTTGTTACAGTGCCAGCAAAGTCCCTCAAACCTCTCTGAAAGCTGACCTTTTCTGGCCTTGAATCCAGATGACTGTACCAACCTCGGTACCTCTGTGCTGGACTTAACGTAGGATTCAAATTCGAGAGCTCTGGCCATTGCATCCTGCATGGTAGAGGGGGGTGCTTGCTTCACTTGTATCTTAAGTTGTGGACTGTCCAAGGCATCTACAAACTGATCTCCCGATGATGACAAAACCTTGTTGAAACGTTGTACATTTGCTGTTATGTTAAACTTATATTAAAGTTTTTCTTCATTACCCATTCAAGCCGTCTCCAGCCATTATTAGTCTCCCTTTATTACTCAGTACATCAAAAAATTCCTTCATAAACTTCTGTAAATTGCCAGCCTCCACACTGGAGATGGCAATTCATTTTATAAAATCAGTTACCAGTCACCATATTACAAAAATGTATCTTGTCTCAACTGGAGTTTAGCCTGTCTTTTCCAAGTATTAAACATTTGTTGAACAAACAAAAGTAAAATGGACAGCAATTTCCTAGTTCAGAGTGACTCTTTTAGAGAAATTCTTGGAGGGCTAATCTTCAAAAGTAGCTGAGTTAGTGTGGTAAAGAGGCACATCATATTCTCCTACCATCTATAGTGATGTAATTCTTTCTTTAAGTTATTGACTATTTAATTTCCACACTGTCATGACAACAAAACATGGTCCGAAGTGCTTAATATTATCTTGTTCTAGCTGCTTCAACCCATTGTTCTTTTGTTAATTGATGTTTTCTGCCAACAAAAATGTTACAGTCTTTGAACTACTAAATCTTAAAACACTTAGAACTACATGTAATTTGATTATCTTTTGCAGGCCATAGTATGATGTCAACTAAATCTGTGAGCTGACCAATACTGTTAGGGAACAGAGGTCACAAGGTGATGCAGTCCACTTGACAAAAAATCAAATTCATGTTTGAAATCCAGGCACTTTTCTGTATCAATTTGCTCCCAGTTTTTACATAGACCTTTTGTAGGTCATTCAGCATTTAATGTTGAGGTAATCCATCTTTCGAAAAAAAAATTCAAAACTAATAGTTGCATAACTTTTAAATGAGAATTGTTTTCATCACAAATGGGTATACATTCAGTTGAATACTTTAATTTGGTAAGTATACACTGAGCCAAATCTGCAGTTATTCATGGGTATTTCAATCAGAAAAACTTCTCGAAAAATCTGTTTTATTTGAAAATGCCACAGTAGAAATGACAACATTTCAAAAGCCTTCCATATTCAGATTAGCTTGCACCTGTTTTTTAGGGTTTAAAGTGGATGTGACATGACCTGAGTCTCTATCTAGTGATGGTTTCATTGCTTCATTCTGTTGATGTAGAAAAGTTCTTAGATTTTTTTGTTTTTTCATAATTTATTTGATTTAATAATTCTGTAAATGTCCCAGTCTGTTTTATGTCTATAAACAAGGTATGTTCTGCATGGATAGAATTCTGTTTTCATCGGTTTTGTGCAGTTTTATGTTCTTTTACTCTTACCCAAAAATGTCTTTCACTTTCTCAAGGTATAGATTTTAGGAATGATTGATACAAGGAGTTAGTATTACTAATGGCCAAGTGGTTAGAGTGCCATAATCGGAATCATAGGTTCGAATCCTGGTAATTCTAAAAAAAAGCTTTCTGGTTTGTGATGCATACAAAGATGTCTGATATAACACATGGTAATGGCTGGAGAATTCACTGGTCAAAAGGTTGTGAAAATAATAATATACACACTGAAGATGAAAATAATAGTCCAAATAATTATACCATTTCTAAAGGTCTGTTTACAGGAACATGGTATTTCATAAATAATATTCAGATGTTCTTTTTTTTAGTTATGACAAGGATAGTACTGAGTGTTCTGAAAGATTACCAGTGGATATTGGTGTTGACCGTTTTACCTATACATTTGGTTTTCTCAGTTAGATTTACAAATACTGTTAGGTTTGTTTTTCTTCTATGTTGTATCAGTTGGTATTTTAATGTTCTGAAAACTATTGGTGTTGAAATTAGAAGGGTACCTGTTCTCTTTAAAACAAAGTATGATATGTCAGAATTTGGTTTTGATGGGGTTTAATTACAGATGTATTCAACTCTGTTGTTTGAGTAGATAATAATATTACGTTTAACAGAATGTGGATGGTAAGACTGAAAATATAAATATCTGTCACTGTGATTTAATTTCCTGTATATGGTTCTAGTGAGTTTGTCTGCTGATGAAGATTAAAGGAATGGTAGATTATTGTTGTTTTCCATTTTCATGGTCAGGTGAATTCTGTTATCTACAGAGTTAAGGTATTGTAAGAAGGCTATATCACCTGTAAAATAAGGTGTAAGAATCCTTTTTTTATTTTTTGTCTGTAGAGGAAGGAGCTATTTGTTCAAAATATTTCATGAAAATGTCTACTAAAGCTGGAAAGGTCCTTTTGGCAAGGCTGCCTGTTACTTCTAGAAAATTTTTTTCTACCATCCAACAAACTACAAGCTAACATTATCGTCTTTACAACACATTAACAGTGTGCACTATCAAAAAACACAAGTTGTATCAAGTGTCATCTGTTATTTGTATTTTTTACTTTATTGTCAGTACATAAAAGGATGAAAGGCAACCCATTAGACAACATAAGACATTTTTACCAGTGATTCAATATACATAGCTTGTGTTGGAAGCACCACTGAAGCTTGTTTTTCTGTTTGCAGACTACTTGTCAGTTGAGTGCCATATGATGTTTTTTTCTAATATTTTTCACACAAGGCTGTTGAAGAAACTGCATAGTCAGTTAAGACGCAGTCTCTAGTTATCTTTTCCCTTGATTGGTTGTGTTCATCACGAAAGTTTCTCTTAGTGGAAAAGGTATTCTTTTCTCAGCTACCTCTGATAACAAATCTTGACTAGAAAAGAAATGGTCTTCAGTAACTAGATTACTGGTAATCGTGCATCTACAAACATGTTTAGATGAAGTCAGATGGATCCTTGCTCTTGCCTACTGTCTTGCAAATAAATAATTATATGAATAAATCTCTGCAATTATTACAGGGCTTCAGGAATCACTTGACTCATTACAGGACCAGTCTCTTTTGAATATGTTCTACAAATGTTTGTGATGGGGTCCTAATAAAGCAGCTGGGCAATATTTTTGTCTGAAATTAATGTCACTTTACCTGTGAATAAAAATATTAGAATCTTGTATTCTATATAGCTCTACAGTGTAGTTATTAGCCTAGATTCAGCTCTTTCTTAATGAAGATAATACCAAATCCATATGAACATAAAGAACCTTGGAGACATTCTATTGGAATAAAAAACACAATGCTAGCTAGATATATTAGGTAGTTGTGCCAAAAATTCTGGGTTTGGCTTTCTGGTAGTACAAGATAAATTTCTCATGTGCAATACAAAGTTGCATTCTGTAGAAAAGTTTCAAAATATTTTCGTGTTTGGACAATAATCTTTTTTATCTATTAAGTTACCTATTACAAAAATTGGAAATGGTACAAATGCAATTTACTAACCTTTATTATGAATATTATAATTTATATGCTAATCATTCATTCATAAACAGTGACATTTTGATCATTCATACAAAAATGTTAAAATTTTGAATGTTTTACCAATTCTGGAAGTCTTTTGAATATCTCTCGTCTTCGAAGTTCATTATGCAACTGAAACTTAAGGTCATGAATTTGTTCCTTTATAAGCTTCATTTTTTTTTGTTCATCCACACAGAGGTCTCCTGCAGCCTGCTTGATCACTTGATGAAGTTTTTGCTTTTGCTGGTGAAATGTGGCCAATTTTCCTAACATCTTTGTCGACATTCGCTTGTATTGAAAATCAGAAATTAATTGCATTAAACAAATAATGTTTCAATAAAGTCATAATTTTCCTAAATAAAAATGTATTTGCCATAGCTAATTCCCTCCACTCACAAGATTAGCTTTTCTCGTTTTGTGCTGCCCTCTATATGCGAACTTTTCAGAAACATGCCATAAGCCATCATCCTCCCTCTGTTTGAATCCAAAGTTCCAACATGTCTCTCATGCAAACCATTATGCATCATCTCTCCACCAATAGGAGAGCACTACTATCATGTGATGCATGTTACTCCCTCTACACGCCACTACTAAACTATCACTTCAAAGTTTGGTAGAAGATATGAACACCAGAAGGTCGTGGGTAGGACAGGTGGGAAGTGTGAGAGGAGGGTAGTACCTGTCCAAAATACATTTTCATTTAGGAAAATTATAACTTCTGATAAGGTACTCTCCCTCTTCTCCCAAGATCAGCTTCAATCCCACATTGAAATGGAGGAACCACATGCATATCCCACAAAAGCATCCAGAGGATATCCCCTGAAATGAGAGGAACAGATCAGATGATCTGAGGAGGGGTACCACACCACATCTAAGCAAGGTATCTCTTTGCCAGGAACATTGACATGATCAGGAGAACCAGACATGGCAGAACATTAAAGGGAGCACATCTACGTGGGAGAAGATAGATTAGCAATGTGATCTTAAGCAGAAATCAGAAGCACTCAATCCCACAATGGAAAGTGGGCAAGTGAGGATGTGTCCCATAATGTAGAGTGGATAGAGTGCGATGAACCATAGTTGGTAAGTCAACTACATCCAAAACCTCACTTTCTGGGTAACGACATCCTCGCAAGGGATGGATGAGGATCATACCATCTTCACCTCAAGTCCAAGAGTCAAGAGAGAACCTAGCATTCCACTACAGGAACTCACAGGGTAGCCTAATGCCAGGGATCCAGGAATGTGTCATCCAGAATCCGAGAGAAGTCCATCGCATGCACTCAACTCCCGTGATCGTGAAACCAGTCCAAAATTATCCCAGGTCGGGAACAACCTCGTAATCTGGCGAGGGAAACCCAGGACAGAAGCGGAAACAGGCCATGTAGACCTTCTATGGCCCACAATACAGAAGACGAGTCAAGAGGGGAGAATAGACAACCCGAAACCTGTGTGAGAACTTGTGATTGGTTTACTCGATCACCAGAAGCTCACTTGACGGGTACCAACATCCTTGCGAGGGTAGAAGGAGGGCACCCAATTGGAGGGGTGAACTGCATCTCAACTCTGGGAAATAGTCACCCATCTGGAGGATCTTATAACTCCCTTGATAACAGTAAAACACCACTGCCGTACTCTGAACTGAATGGTTATAGCCATCTTTTTGGAACCCATCCAGCAGGTTGCCTCCATGGTCAACCACCCCAGCAGCATGTAAGTGGTAAGGACTCCCATACTCCCCTGGAAGAAAGGGGTGGAAGTGAAGTGGAGAGTCTGAAGGGACTGCAACACCCAAGACATTGTAATGAGTGATCACAAAACCCTATTTTTAAAAGCAGACCTCACCGATTTATTCAATGTAGGCATGGAAGTTATTAACAGCAATCCTGTTCTGCTTCCCTCATGCCATTCATGGGTGGTATGGTACGAGATGGGCGTATTATGATGCAATTATCACGAGGAAGTTACACTAGTGATCTTGTGAACACACCATCTTAAGAGTGAGTGTACACAGCCATGGAAAATGTATAAGAATCAACAGTCGGGATTTAATATCAAGATGTATGTGAATGGTCACAGCCATTAAGTGGAACCCATTCTGAGTACAGACAGAATACCTGTAAGGCACCACTTGTCACAGAGCAGGATCCAAAGTGAAGCTGAAGCAGGGGCCCCTAAAAGAAAAGAAAGCATTAGTGAGGGCTTACCTTGTGTCACTGCCACACCGAAGTCTGTAGAATAGCCACAGGTAGCAGGCGATACCCTGAGGAAGCAGAAATAGCAAAGTAGCATAGGCAGTGGTGGGATTCAGCCGGTTCGTGCGAACCTGTTCTTAGAATTTAATGACCTCCACGAACCGGTTGTTAACAATCGTATGTATAGGCCTAATAATAACGTTACAACTTACAAGTACGCGTGTTTACAACGCAACTTTACTAGCAGGCTAGGCGGACTAGTACTACTAGATCTCTGATGAATCATTTGCCAGGATGTAATTGTTTTGTTTATACAGATTCTTATGATCTTATCTAAATTATTATTATTAGATCTAACTTAGTTATATCATCTACTATAGGCCAAGCGTCCT